TAAATGTGTCAAATGCTTTGTACATGAGATGCTGATAGGGTTCAACATTGAATTAAACATGAAGAGGAGCATTTCGAATTTGTTAAGTCATTTTTTTTTAATTATACAAAATTATGTTTAGTTGTGACAATACTTATATACTTTCTTAAACTACAGTAAATTATGTTTGTTAAATGAACAATAATAAATTTAAAAGCCGTTAATTTTGCCTGGATATTTTTGGTCTCTTGGTTGGGATCAGTCATATTTATCGACCAGATCTACAAATGAAGCGACGCAGTTTCCTGGGAAGGTCGGCTGATGGATTAAAAGAACAGGTCTTTGCTAATGTATCTGCTCAACAAGCTACACATAATTTTTGACATTACTTCCTGTTGCGTTTCGTCTCTGGCTTCAATTCTTCAGTCCTACATCATAGAGCGCATCAACAACAGACAATTTCATTTTCTTAGTTTATCTCGCTTTAATAAATCATGAACCATAGTTACAGCATTGTCTCTAGGAAGAAGGTCGAGGCAGATAATCACGAAGACAAATGCCGAACCATTCATCACCACGTGCTGTCTGGCCTAACTACGGAATAGAGAATCGGGAAGCGTGTTGAATATTTAATTACTTGTGACCGTCTCTTCCTGCATTTTGGTCTTATATAGAACCTTTAACAAAGACATCCCACCACTGTTCACGCCCTCAGGGAACTCTGGCATTTATTTTCTCATTCCAGACAAGCCTACTCGTTTGCATCGTTTCTATGTACGTGTGGGTTGTCCAAATTAATGGTACATTAGTTTTCGTGGAAAGTCTAATAGATTCTAAGCCCAAATTCATTTTGTTCCTTTCCTGGGGATCCATCCGCTAGATGGTACCTCCACATTGCACAAACGAGATATGCTCAATTGTGCGACTAGATACATTTTGAAAGAAACCGCTGGGAGTTAGTAATTTCCATTGTACCAAGATTTATGCATATGGGAGTTCATCTTAAAGTTAACCTTGAGGAAGATTTGCCCTCATGAGGAAGCGAATATATGCACACAATACATACAAGCTGATCTCATATAGTTAGGGTAATGGCACCCAGAATTAAGGTAAACCAATATGAACATAAATTGATATATGAAACCGAGGGTCTGCCCTGTTAAATTTATCATCATCTGTTGCGTAGTCCATATGGATAATATAAGCTTCAGATAGATTTTAAAATCAAGTTGAACATTTCAGAAGTATTTTAATATTCTTCCTGGAATTTCGATAATTCATACCGCACCGCTATAGCTATGAAAGTAAGTGTTGTTACCTAGGGAAAGTTACTGGACAGATTCATCTCACAAAGGTTGGTAATGAACAATAATACTTAGGATACGATCAACATATACAGGGTGGGTCAGAGCAACTTGCTTATTTGGAATATCAATTAAAACACAAGTAATGCAGGTATACATGTAATTCTTTGAACTGCAACTAGTTCAACATTTAAATTTTATTTTTTAGCAGTTTTAAAGATGATATAAGTAAGATGGCGTCCATTCTTCTCTATAAACTGAGTCAATGTTTTGGGGTGACCTTGCTGTTCGTGGGAGGCCAGGTTTCATTTTCTTTACATCACCCGTTTCCCTGAAGGGGTTTACCCATGAAACAATCGATTGCCGGCCAGGAACACGACCACTTTGGGGGCAATATTGAAATGTCTACGGAATGCTCGTTGCGTTGCGACGATTGAGCGACCGCTTGAAAAAAATGCCTCAACAGCGAAAGCGCGTTCCAACTTCCGTCCACTCCATGATGCTCACTGGGGTTCCTGAAACATAAACAAAAAATAAATGCACGTTAAGAACCAAACTTTAAGCCCCACCCTCTCAACTAAGTCCATCCCTACCATCCTTGGAGCAAGCATCGCTTTAGGGCGCCAAATTTAAATAAGCAAGTTGCTCTGCCCCACCCTGTATAAGTTACGTCAGCGGAGCGTAGAAATAGTAGTCAACTGCTAGAAATGAGTCAAGTTAATTCCACAATGAATCTCCAATTTGTAGCATATCTACCAACCGTCACACCCGGTCAAATATGGCACAATGTCGAATTTACTGTGTGGTATCCTAGCCGGAAGGCTTGCTAAAAAATTCCCCGTAGACTCCGTATAAAACGAGTTGGGATTAGCTGTTCCCCGAGACGAGACTCTATCCTTCGATATATATATGTCTGGGGATCCTCTCTGCAGGGAAACAGAGAGTTTGACCACCACAGCTGAAGACGAAACTCCAAGTGCAAGATATCTACCAAGCGCCCCACGCGGTCAGATGTGGCACACAGCCGAATATAATGTGGGGTATGCGAGCTCGTATGTTCGGCCAAAAATTCCCCGTAGACTCCGTATAAAACGTGTTGGGGTAGCTCTTTCCCGAAACGAAACTCTGCCCATCGACACAGCCTCGTCTGGGGATCCTCTCTGCCTCCGGGAAGAGAGATTGACCAGAACAGCTGAAGACGGATCTCCAAGTGCAAGATAGCTACCAAGCGCCGCACGCGGTCAGATCTGGTACACGGTTGAATTTAAGGCGGGCTATCCGAGCCCCTAATCTCGGTCAAAAAATTCCCCGTATAAAACGTGGTCGGATAGCTCTTTCCCGAAACGGGATTCTGCGCTTCGTCTGGGGATCTTCTCTGCCCGAATCTCCAACGACAGACCAACATACAGTATTTACTACTGTGTGAATTGGGACAAACGCATTATTTTCCGTAGGTATTCTACAACAGTATGTCTTCTACAAGAACAGTAAATGATAGTAAAGATTAATTTCAAATTGAAAAGTTAGATAATCGTCAGCGTGACTTGATTACGAATCACGAAGTTAAGGTGGTATTCACTTTATGACACGGCAGCTAGGTCTTGCATTTAAATTGAAAGGCATCGTAAATATCTGATGAGACTAAAAAATGCCAAAAGATTATAATTTATAAATGTAATAAATATAATAGATATGATGATAAATGATAATATATAATGATATATAAGATGAAACTAAATAGATAGGAAAATATTATCATTTATAAATAATTATTCTACAGGTTTTTTTCGAAAGAATGGACACCTCTACCTAAAAGTAATGAGAACAATAGAAGAACAAGTGATACATTAATATAAAGCACATTTAATGAATTCAGTTTATTCACTTTCCTTGAAGCTGTCACAGATGGTCTGTATGAACAACATAATTTTCGTGGCACAAAATGATGTCATGTGTGATATTTTAAGAAATTGTGCTTTGTTGATTGTTGCAAAGGCTCTCCGAATGGCGTCCATGAACTGATGGGTATATTTGTATCGTTCATGTGAATCTCTCTCTTTGATAATATTCCATAGAGCGTTGAAATAGAAAATTATATTATGTGGGGTCGATAAAAATTTAGGTCTACCCTGTACTTGTTCGTTATTCAGTTATTCTGTCGGATTTATGCTGTATATTGAACTGATTTATGAAAATATATTATTTTTTAATGGAAACCAAGTGATGAGGTCAATGTGCAGTGTGGTTCTACTTTTTAATACTTTTACTGTTGCATTTCCTATCATTGTTGTTTGGCTGCACTGATCTGTATTGAGAAAAATAGGAAACTATCATTTACTTGATATGAATGCGTATATATCGCTACCGGCTGTTTCTAATGGACACCGCCATTTTTGTTTTGTTCCGATACCTTAGATTACAGATTATGCTAAATAATACCGCGAACATACAATATAATACGTCACAAAACAGGTTTTATTGTAGGCAACTCTATGTCTACAAAAATTTTTAAATAACACCACTTAGTTTATAATACGAACGCCATGTGTCTAGAAAATATATATATTATTTGCAGAAAAACGCATAACAATGCCAACAGCAGAGAAAATCTCAGTAACATCAAGAATTTTCAATACTGGAATAATTGTCTACATTTAAAAATCACGATTACGACAGACTAAATATTGTAGGCATTTTAACATAACAAATCTAGTAACTTCATATAGGTAAACTGATAGATATTTCATTTGAATTTATATATACATGGGAGGACTGATTACTACTTGTTTATTTCTTGGCCATGAATGTTTTATTCCCAGCGGATACCAAGACAATTATTGCAGATAAAAAATCGACAGCCGAGAAAATCAGTGCATGTCACTTGAGGCTTAGTTCACAGAAAAACAAACGGGATCATTTTAAAGTTAGTATATTGAATGGAACTTCTATTAAATACATGGTTAGATAAAATATATATATATATATATATATATATATATATATATATATAGATAGATAGATAGATAGATAGATAGATAGATAGATAGATAGATAATTAATAGGTTAAGATAGATAGGTAGTTTGGTAGACAGATATAAATGTATGAAAATTTGAGTAGTATTATCGACGTTGGATATTATGTATATTCACTAATATATACTTATAGGCATGTATCATAACATTCAGCACTAAAAATTATAACACCTAAGAAAATTAATATGATTAATTAATAGATAGATACATAGAGAGATAGATAATCAACAGGTTAAGTTAGATAGATAGATGCAAGTATTTGCATGTATGTACAGTCTTTATCCTACACACATATATATATATATATATATATATATATATATATATATATATATATATATATATATATATAGAGAGAGAGAGAGAGAGAGAGAAAGATCAACAGGTTAAGATAGATAGATAAATAATCAACAGGTTAAGATAGATAGATAGATAGATAGAGAGAGATAGATAGATAGATAGATAGATAGATAGATAATCAACAGGTTAAGTTAGATAATCAACAAGTTAAGATAGATAGATAGATAGATAGATAGATAGATAGATAGATAATCAACAGGTTATGATTGATCGATAAATAGATAATCAACAGGTTAAGATTGATAGATAGATAGATAGATGAGCAACAGGTTAAGTTAGATAGATAGATAGATAGATAGATAGATAGATAGATAGATAATCAACAGGTTAAGATAGATAGATAGATAGATAGATAGATAGATAGATAGATAGATAGATAGATAATCAACAGCATAGATAGATAGATAATCAACAGGTTATAGATAGATAGATAATCAACAGGTTATGATAGATAGATAGATAGATAGATAGATAGATAGATAGATAGATAGATAAATAGATAGATAGATAGATAGATAATCAACAGGTTAAGATAGATAGATAGATGATCAACAGGTTAAGTTAGATAGATAGTTAGATAGATAGATAGATAATCAACAGCATAGACAGATAGATAGATAGATAGATAGATAGATAGATAGAGTTACTATGACATTTAAACATATATCAGACTGCTTTCTTGATTTTTATTAGTCCATCCAGAATGTCCACCTAATATATTCCCCATATTTAAGTGCCACCATATGCCATATTTCAGTGTCATGGCCAAGCCTATTATCTTGTAAGTCGTTTAGATTCAAACTGCCTAAAAAGATACAGTAGACCGTATCATACTTCTGTAGATGATTGTCTCCATTACGAGGAAATGGCTCCTTGCACAGATGCTAACAAAAACGAACATAAAATTGCTGATTTTTTCCAATGTTTCTAGCTTCAAAGTGGGGCAGAATATTTGGCAGGAATAGGCCCGGCAATTTTGCCCAGTCGGCGTCAAAATGTTTTCAGAAATGACACGTAACGAGCTTTAACCTAGACAAATTTATGAATTGATTTCTCCGTTTTTGATAGCATCTAATATTTTACCACCAGTTTCACTTTTAGAATTGCGAAGCCACGGAAATTACAACTTTGGAAAGATCTGTTTTGTACAATGATGTTCAGCCTGTATTAGACCCGAGGGTCACTCATGGTAGAGGGTTACAGAATAGGAGGCACAGATTATGTATGGAAAATAATGGTTAACCCTAGTTAACACTGTAGTTAACGCGGATAGAAACTCTTGGGAATCGGTTACACTAGGCAGTGCTTCATGGATTCAGCATCCCCTACTTTAAGAAGGTACTGGCTGCAACAGCAGAATTTCACACGTTGTTGATGTGAGTCATAATCCACGCGCAATGTACAGGCTCAGGAAGGCAACATTCCACACTTTGCATGTTTCAGTGTTCGACAAAATTTAGTCGTAACTTAGGGATTTATTCATTTACAATCGGCTTTGATTGCATGTATCTATATTATGAGTAAAACTTATAATCATTTCATTTAATTTTAATTGTTTAAATATCCAAAATGGCTGCCAGAAGAATACCTGAAATGCAATATATTTTTCCAGATGGAAAAGATCTTTTGCTTTCAGTTTTCACTTGGATTGCATTTTCTTGATTTATCATTGCCTGCATTTAAGTTTATTTTATTGGCACAGCCTAAAGTTGTTTGTTTAAAGCCTAGCCATCCAGCTTCAATTTATACTCTACATCCCGTTGGATATTATATATTTTCTATATTAATGAACTATTCAGGCATCGAGATTTTGATTCTCGGTGAAAAGGTAATATATATATGGTCTCTTTACAAAGTAACAGGACTGTGTGATCTGTGGGCGAAAGAAGGATAACCATATTGTGTTATCTAACATGATATATTAGGATTACATAACTAGCTTTCTGCAACCATTGCATTTTTTGACATTCTTTTTCGGTACGACAATCGTGGATGCTTCACCAAGACAATGCAGCTACTCACAACACGCTGAACATCCGACAGTTCGTGACCGAAAACATCTCTCCACTGGAAAAGAATCCATATTCACCTGATCTTGCTCCGTGCGACTTTTTTTATATTCCCAAAGATCAAGTGGATAATTAAGGGGACCCGTTTTGAAAGCATGGATGCCATCAAGAGGGTCGTGACGACGGAGCTGAGGGCTAGCCAAGAAAAATCTTGATGGTAGAGAAAGATTGAAAAGTATAATAAAGACACAAGAGGATTAATGAGAAACCATGCAGTTTGTTGTTTGTTATTGAACTTTTTTTTTTATTTAAAAAAAAACCGTTAATTTTCAGAGAAACCTCCTATGATCTATTCTCTTTTAAATTACAAAATATTGTAAAGTTCAAATAGAAAAATACAAAATAAAAAGGACAGAAAACTCTCAATATTCTGAATTTATCTTCAACTGAAAAATATATGCCATGTCCCTTTAGCGACATCTTATCCATAATGGCACTTAGTAAATCGTCTCATACCTATTTCTTATTCTGAGTATAAGTTTTCTTTTTCTTGCCAATTTTGTTAAGATTCCTTCTTGCTTATTCGATCTATTTATCGAATCCTCAATATGCATCTGTAGAACCACCTTTCTGATGCCTCCCGTTTTTTTTGTTCACCTCTGAGGGAAATTGTCTAGTATCCTCTGCTATACAAAAGGATAACAATTCGTCACCCTTTTCTTTAATCTTTGTCCTTTGTTTAACGTTTTGAATACGACTTTTTGCTAATCTTTGCGAATTTGAAAGTTGTTGCCGCATTTTTAATCTTATGTCATAAGAGATAGAACACTGTTTTCGTTTAAGCGCACATCGTCTTGCGCTACGCTAGAAGTAACGACACTCTGGTTGTAAACACATTTTCGAATCCCGCTCCTTAAATCTTGTAGGTCAAGTAATGGTTCCCCTATACATTTATTGACCTCCTGTGAATATTTGCATATTTTCTCATTCCCAAAGAGTGATTCTCTAACAGCACTTTCTTCTCAGTCAGACAACAATTTTGAAATATTTCAATATGTAGAAAAATTCGAGCACATTTTTCACCTGTTTTTCTATACACTTTAACGTTTATATCTTAAAAAAAATGGAATTCTAATACATTTAAAATTAAATCGGAACAATCAGTAATTTTAAACCTACATTTTATTATAACTGCTTACCAACAAAATGATTACTATGAAAATAAGTATTCTCGTTTTGAACAATGATAACTATATTACAAAATACTCAATGATATCAGACAACAAGCAGTATAATAGAAATTAACAAAATGGTGATATGGTGGTGATGGGAAAGGCTAATTTTATGTGATAACATGAAAAAACAGTGATATCAGGAGAGAGTATTTTAGGCTGACATGTTTTCGATTCTGTGATGTAAGAAAACTGTTTCCAAGTAAAATGTGGCACCAAAATTCAATTCAGAATTACCTCTCGACTACTTTTAAGTGACTTATATCGCATTTACCTATAGAAAAGAGGGTAAAACGAACATATTATCTACTCCAGAATTAAGGTTAATTTTGACATCCTCATATGTGATTATATTCCAATCTATGTTTAGGCACTTTGCAACGAATTCTTTCGTATATATCGAATAGCATCTTAAATATTTTCCATGGTATTCTATAAATAAACCCTCGTTTCAGAAGAATCGTTATTCAGCAGTCTATGTTACTTATCTTCACTAATTTTATTTTAAACCATTTTAAAGAAGAATTGTGTCTTCTGTCACAAAAGTTGATTCCACTTCTGTCAACAAATTTTACGAGGAATCTGTCGATACTTTCGAAGTTTTGGAAATGCTGACATAACAAAACTGTTTTCATGCTGCGTCATATATGATAGTCTGGAGGTATCAAGTTGAAATCTACACTGAGGGCTTATGGACTACCTATCCATGTTCTATGAATCACTTGTCATGTTGAATTTGCATCTGCAGGATAGGCTTGCAGCTAGACTCGATAACGTTACCAAATAGTTTTTTTTTTAATTATTTTCCAGTACACTATTCTTTCAAATGAGATGACTTATTCAGTTCAAATGGTTCTGAATGAAAATGATTATGCTAATTCTTGGAGATTCTCTATCTATAATAAACCAGTTTTCATGATCAGATGTTTTCTAGCCGTTTTTCTTTAGGTTTGCAATTGAAGTTTTCTTTTTGAATATTTCGGTAAAAATCACCGACTCGTATTTTCATCCACCTTATCACGACAATAAAATTCGGTGATGCGACGGTCCGTGTCCCCTACATTATGCAGATTAAACATGGAAAAGAAACCAATCTGATTGTCAAGTTTATGTCCAATGCTACATTAAAAGCCGCTACATGTATATCACTTTCCTTCTTTTCTTGACAGGTAGATTAAACACATTAAGAAACATCATAGATTGTAGGAATTGTTTCCACAAGTTTCAATAGAGTTCTCAGAAACAAACTTGTATTTAAAACAATTTAATCTAGTAGTAACATAGAGAATTATAAAGAAATCCAAAATTGGTCACTTCTGTGGTACAATTTGTGATATTATAATTTTATCCACTCTGCCATGTTTCCTAGAAGAGATCTGTGTATGAATTTCTGGGTATTACAAACCTAATGTCTTCAGTCACCATTTTTACCAGTGCTCACATTGCAATACTTTGCTGTTATCATTGTTTCTGTTGTTTTTTTTTTACCAGAGCTCATATTGCAATTTTCGTTGTTATTATTACTTTTCTCTGGCACTCCCTTTTACTGGTTCTGATATTGTATTCATTTCTATGCTTGGTCGGCTCAGGAGGTTTTTGTGGCCTAGCATATGCGCTGCTTCCTTAAGTTTACGAATTTTCCAATGATGTTCTTTTGTCTATGATTTCAACCTGATCCCACAGGAGACAGTGTCTACATTTTCTCTACATATGTGATCAGCCACGCCTGATTTTTCCATTTCCCCTCGTGGTACAGCTTTCTGGTGTTCTTGAAACCTTACCTTAAGGAGGCGGCCTGTCTCCCCTTTATATTTTTTCCTCAGTTGCACGGGATGGCGTACACAATCTTTAGTTTAAAGTTTCAAGAGAGTTATCAGAAAAAAACTTGTATTTAAAACAATGTAATCTAGTAGAAACACACAGAGTTATAAAGACATCCTAAATTAGTCATTTCTATGGTACAATTTGTGATATTATTTTTTTTTTTTAAATGAGACAATGTTAGGGTATTGACAAGCTGGCAAATAACATTATTGTATAGTTGCAAAAGAGTTTTTGGTTGCGAGAAAAGTGAAATTGTGTCGATTTTACTCTCATTTTGCCTTTAAATATTTTTGTTGTGGATTCCGGGATGAAATCCGGTCTCAAATGAA